GATATATATCCCCTGTCTGACTTAAGCTGTCAGATAGAATGTGACTAGTACATTTTTTAAAATTTTGCTCCATTAATATCAGTATATATTTTATAATGTATTATGCTTTTGTTTGACCTAAAATGATCAGATGAAGTTTTAAAATGGCAGTTCAAGGTTAACATAGGGATATATAAACATGCATGTATGGACTATTAAGATTTCATGTCATTAGGGAGGAAACACATTTTAACATAACAAGGATGAAAGCCTTATGTTAGGGGCCTGAAATTCCCAGAGTAGGGTGTCAAGGATCGGTTACTCTCTCAACCTAGGGAGACCCTCCCTGACAGATCTGCTCTGCATGAAGGTAGGACCCCTGCTTCCCAGGGAGCAAGAATATGCTTTCTTCTTTCCTAGCAGAGCGTGGGAAAATGCCCGTGGGAGAGCAGGGCACTGTGGTCAGAGGTAGCAGAGCCCCAGCACCAGCACCAGCCCTCCTAGATATCGGGGGGCCAGTCGTTTCCCAGTCAGGTCTTCAGTTTCTTCATCCATAGAATGGGGGTAAGAAGCCTGCCCTGCCCCCAGTGTGGTGTGGTTGTCAGCCTCTCTGACAGAGGTCTTCTGAAAGAAGCTTGGAGCTGTTAAGTGCTGAGTAGATATGTTGCTGATACTGACCAGTGGCTGGAGAGGTGGGAGGTGAGACCAGAGGCTCGGGTTGTTGGGAGAGGAACAGGCCACAGGAGGTAGACATCAGGCCAGGTGTGTACTCGGCAGGTGGGCCTCTGGCCTTTCTTGGCTATCTCATTGAACTAACTCATCTGCTGATTTAGGATTTTTTCTCATAATTTCACTCAACAAATGGTGAGCCTATCCAAATGGACAGGACCCTTTGGTCACAACTCTTCGCTTCAGCAAAAGAGACTTGTGAGAGGGCTGTCGAGTTAGGTCTCAGAACTGAAGGAAGACCTCAGAGGGCCCTTGGGCATAAGGACTGGGGACTGAAGGTACCTGGTGCTCTCTGTCCACCTCCCATTTCTGCTGCTCTCCTCCAGGCAGCATTTCCTCCTGCTGCAGGCAGGCCTTTTCTGGGTGAAGGGAAACAGCTTCCAGCAGCACAGGATCCGAACTATATCAAGGACATATGTCCTTTTGTCTACCTCCATTTGGACAAATCCCCAGGAGGACTCTGATTGGCTTACATCAGGTGGCCACCCCTGAACCAATCACTCTGACCAATACACAGCACTCCTATTGGCCAGAATCTATGATCAGAAGGAGGTGGGGCAGCCCAAAACGCCAGCTGCCTCCCCAACAGACCTGACACTGGGCTAGGGATTAGAGATAAAAATGAGTAAGAAACAGTCCCTGCATCTGGAGGAGCCCACAGTCTAGTGCAGGTGTGGGGAGAGGGTGGTCAGATCACTGAAGCAATGCAGTTACTGGGGAGGAGGTGACAAAGGGAGGGTAGAGGACAAGAGCAGCTGAAAGACTCCAGAGGGAAAATGGTGCTTGAGCTCAGACTCAAGTGACCAATGATGGTCCATTTCCCAGGGTGAGACTGTGGGAAAGGCATTCCAGGCAGAGGGAACAGCTTGAGCGAAGGCTGGGCAGCAATGACCAGCCTACAGTGTTCCAGATGCAAAGAGGAGTTTCTTTCAAACAGAGCATCAGGTCCCGGAGGGCTTGCTACATGGAGTTGAGGAAGCTGGACTGTTCCCAGGGAGCGGTGGGCTGACACGGAGGCCTGCCACGGTGGCTACTGGGAGGCTAGCTGCTGGATGACACAGCCCGGTGCTGGGCAACTGCAGGAAGGACAGTGCAGGCAGACAATGGGGCCCCAAGCTAAGGCAGCAGCAAGAAGGAGAGGAGGGTCTGCTGGGGCAGGAAGCAGAACTGAGGGGAAACAACAGGAACCAGATGGGGGGGCCCCTGGAGGAGAGGAGTGTTTCCTCAGCTTCTGGGTTCAGGCATCTGGATAGGTGCTGGTCCCCTTGGCTGAGGTAGGGAGCCAGGAAGAAGGGCAGCTTGAGGGAGGCACTGAGTTCTCTTGGGGGGCAGACTGAGTCTAAGGGAGCTGGGAGGTAGGCCAGTGGACCCCAAGTCTGGAGGTCAGAGAAGGAAGAGCTACAGCCCACCAACCAGAAGGAGTGAGGCTGGGCAGTGGAGGCTAAGCCCTGAGGGGTGGGCGGAGTTAGAGGAGCCTGCGATGGAGACTTCTGGACAATGATCCAGAGGCAGGAGGAGAGCCAAGAGAGTGGTTGAGAAGGGCAGGGGTCAGGCATTCGGCTTGGCATCATCTTTATAACATTAATAACTGGGAGGTGAGGAGTTTGTCTTGCTCACTACCCTTTGAAACGTACTTTGTTTTATATGTGATTTTTAAAAAATATTAAAAAAAATTTGTAACTAAAATCCTTCTTAGAAGAATCCTCTGATAATTTGCTTGCCAAAAATATCTTTGTAATGTTGATTTTTTTTAAATCAAGAGGTGATTAGTGAAAACTGTCAATTCTGACCTTATTATGAGGTTAATGTTGTCAATATTTGCCTTAAAAATGACATCAGAGGGTCTCTGTAAATGCTGCAGGATGGCAGGGGCTCTTTTTATACCAGCCAAGCACGTAGAGCACATGGAGGGCCTCTCTTCTCTTTCCTTCTGAGGAGGCAGCTGCAGGCTCCAAGCAGCAGCAAGAGCGGTTAGGACCAGACATCAGAAAGAACCCCAGGTGCCGGGTCCTAAGACTGTGAGGCATTAGGCAGTGAGATCAGGGCCACCTCGCCAGGCCCCAGGTGGGGTTTCCCAACCATGCGTCCTCCTGGGAGGAAGAAGGAACCTTGGACCAGGATGGTGAGCCTGGGCAGCATTGTGAGAAATGCCTGGAGTGCCAGCCCCAGGGCAACACCCACCTGTAACTGGAGGGGTTGGGGTGGGGGGCGCCCCTGGCTGTGGAGCTGGGTCCTACTCCCTTGGGCATGGCCTGCAGGGTGTCCTGGGATGCATCTGGGATGAGGGGGACCAAGGAGAACACCGGATGCATTAGGCCAGAACTTTGGAGGGAGCCCCAGGCATCCAGATGCAGAACCAGCAGGAGCAGGGTTGGTCTGTTACCCCTTTCCTCCTCCTCTTGCCCAGTCTGCCAAGGCTCCTCAATGCCGAGATATCAGTATCCTTCTATCCTGATCTGCCTTGAACTGCCGCCTTGCTCTTCCCATGTACTCTGGAGACAGGGAACAATCTCACTTAAAAACACTGTCTCAGGTCAGCACTCAAGAAGCAGGTCTCCAGAGCTTTCTCTCCACAGCCCAAGACCCCTGTCCCTCAGAGTCCCTTCATCCTCCGCACACCCTCTCTTAATGTCAGTCAGATATTATCAATATGATTCAAATATTATCTCAGGGGAATCTCCACAACAGCCTTTATTATTATCCCCTTTAATAAATAAGGAAACTGGCACTCAGATAGGCTGTCACTTGGCCAAGGTCACACAGCAAGTCACTGGTAAAGCCAGTAATGCAAAGTCATCTGGTACCTCCAAGCAGCAACCCCTCCCAGCCACAGCCTCCAAGGGGCCATTAGTCAAAAAATACCAGCTGATTATTCCACAACTCTGGACACAATCTGTCAATTTGCATTTGATTTGCGTAAGTATGTCACAAATGCATAGATACCTTCCCAACACTGCTTCCTCCTGCCCCTTTCTCTCCTCTCTCTCTCTCTCTCTCTCTCTCTCTCTCTCTCTCCTCTCCTCCTCCTCCTCTCTCTCTCTCTCTCTCTCTCCACACACACACACACACACACACACACACACACACACACACACACACGGACCAGGCTCTTCCTCCTTGAGATGCCTAGGGGACTGGGGAGCACCATCTGGTCCCCTCCATCTGCCAAGGACACCTTTGCTTTTTCAAAGTGTCCCTTCCCATGGGCCACTACACAGTGCATCGAGTCAGGGAGCAAACCTGGAGTTGGAGCTGTATGCCAAGCAGCCCCTGTTCCACCTGCAGTCTCAGGACAGGGGCACATCCAGCAAGGATGCAGGAATGGACAAACAGGGGAGTGGAGGCAGCCCTGGATACATTCTTTGTCTTCTGTCTTCAGCCCCAGATTTAGCTGCTTTTTCACCTCCCACGCCTTCCTGCTGCAGTCTGGAATGCCCAGAGGCTGGGAAAACTAGGAAGACTGGGATGGAGAGATTGAAGGGAGGGGCCGAGCTAGCATCCTCTACAGGGACTGGGTCCAGTTCCCCCTCTCCTTCCTCTCTCACCTACACCACCCAAAACAGTAGACTCTACCCATCAGATTTTGAAGGCTTAGTGTAAATATTTGTGTATATAATGTGTCATTAATAATTTTAATATTAATTACATATTTAAATGATATTTTGGACATTGAGTTAAACATAAAATTAATTTCACCTGTTTTCTCTTTTTTAATGTGGGTATGAGAAATTTTTAAATAGTATATATGGCTTGCATTTTGCCAGGCATTATACTTCTGTTGGCCAGTGCTGTTCTTGACCCCACCTTCCTAGTCAAGCAGTTGCTGTTCTGTAAAACACTTAGTGCAGGGAGCTGTGTTGAACTAAATGATTCTTTATCATCCCTTAGTCTTTTAGCCAAACTTGATAAACTGAGTTTAAATCCATCTTTGTTATTTATAAGCTGTGTGACATTGGGCAAGTCAGTTAACCTCTCTGTGCTTCAGTTTCACATCAGAAAAATGGAAATAGTATGAGTAACTTTTTTGGTTGGGGGAGGTAATTAGGTTTGTTTCTTTTAATTTTATTTATTTTTTAATGGAGGTCCTGGGGATTGAACCCAGGACCTCTTGTATGCTAAGCGTGCACTCTACCACTGAGCTATACCCTCCCTTCTATAAGTACCTATCTTAAAAAAGCTTTTGTGAGGATCAAATGAGCTGATATGCATAAAAAAACTAAAAAAAGTGTCCAGCATACAGCAATTTCTTGTAATTGCTGTGAGGCTATTATTATCCAAAATGTGGAGCTGCTGCTGGCTACAGTTTCATGTATCACAGTATATTATGCCTCTTTGGATGCATTATTTTATTTACTCCTCCCAAGCCTCTTATTGGTGACTGTTATCCTTATTTCACAGAGGAGGCATCTGAAACTGAGAAAATTTTAGTAACTGGCCCAGGGCCACCCAGCTAGTGGGATTTGCACCTGAATCTGCTCTAATCCAGAAACTGACCCTTAAGAACCACCCTGTGCTACATGTCTTGGTAAAGGCTCACCGAGACCCTCCAAAGTAACAACTCTACCCACCTCCTCCTCCTCCAGGTTTCTACTGGCATCCAGGACCCTCCTATCTGAAAAAGTCCGTGTCACAAGGCCATTGCCAAGGGGCCACCTGTCTCTGTGTTGCCAGGCCTCAGCATGCAGGAAACCCTGACAACACCCTCACTGTCAGGCCCCAGCCAGTCCTCAATTTCCACACAGGACCGGTCCTCCACTGCCGGCCAAACTTCCAGCACAGGCCCACCCCCCTCAAAGCCCTCAACTATCCCACCTCCTGTGAAGTCCAAGGGCCCGAGTTCCAGGGCTGGGGTACGTCGGATGCGTAGGATCATCGCTGAGGATGTCGAGTGGTCACTGGCCATCGTGCCCCTCCTCACAGAACTCTGCATTCAACACATTGTCAAGAACTTCCAGAGTAAGTCTGTCCCTGCCTGGGGCAAGAGAGAGCAGGCAAGAAGTGGGGCAGGGTGGGTGGGGACTGTCTGGAGATGAGGCCTCAGAGGCTGGGTTCTGGCCTCTCACACAGCATCCTCATCACCACTCAACACTTCTTGCCCCACCCACCAAGCCAAGCTAGGACAGTTTCTCCTGCTGTCCCCACCTCACCAGACTGCCCCAATACTGTGCCCTCTATGCCTATGCCCTCTCCTCACCTTTCCCAGGTAGTTGTGGTAGATAAACCATATCTACCTCTTCCTCCAGAAAGCCTTCCCTGGTTGACTGCCCTCCACTCTCTTGGTCTTCCATGGTGCGTACAGGTTCTTCAATTATTCTGTACACTAACTTCTATAAATGTCCATCCTTTTCAAAGAAAAGGTTGCCAACCTCTCCTACTGGATGGGGAGCTCTCTGAGGACAGGACCATCATTTTGTCTACAGCACCTGTTACCACCAGACCTAGAATATATTCATTTGATTTGTTTATTATTTGCCTCCCCTCATAAGAAGGAGTGGCTTCCTCTGTTTTGGTCACTCTTGTATCCTCAGCACTTAGGACAGAGTGTGGTGCAGAGCAGGTGTCCAGAAAACCCTTTTTGTTTTGAAATGAATGAATCAAATCATACTGAGAGCTTCTGAAGTCAGGGATTGTCTCCTCCACCAGGTTAAGCAATAACTGAGGGCTGAACCTGAGATTCTTCCTCAGACTGGTAGCCTCCTGAGACTCGATGCTAAGATGTTCACCTTCAACCAGGAACACCCCAGGGTCAGGGGTAGTGGCTCTCTCCTCCAGCCCAGGGTACCATGTGTGGCACCCCCAACACTGTGACTTCTACTTTCCTTTTTCTGTGCCCCAAGACAACCCTATCCTGAAGCAGCTGCTCCCAGAACACCAGAAGAAGGTCCTGAACAACCTGCCCCCCAACCTGCCGCTGACTGTGACTGCCAACCTGATCGACGACGAAAATTACTGGCGCCGCTGCTGCCTGCAGCGCTGGCCAGTGTGCCACGTGGACAAGCATGGCGGCAGCTGGAAGCGCATGTTCTTCGAGCTGCACCTGGGGAACCTGCTGAAGCACTTCATCCCAAGCAGCACCGACCCTGCGGTGATCCTCAACCTGCTGCCGCTCTGCAGGAACTACGTGCGCACCATCCGGGTGGATCAGTTCCTTCCGCCAGTGCAGCTCCTGCCGCCGCCCCAGAGCGGGGATCTGTCTGACTCCGGCAGCGAGGGAGAAATGGAGGAGCTGGCCACCGACCACTACCAACTGGGCGACCTAGTGGCTGGCCTGAGCCGTCTGGAAGAGCTGGACCTCGTGTATGGTGTCAAGGACTGCGGGATGAACTTCGAGTGGAACCTCTTCCTCTTCACCTACCGCGACTGCCACTCCCTGGCGGCCACCGTCAAGGCATGCCACACCCTCAAGGTACCACCTGCCTCCAGCCTTCCCCCTCCTCCCATTCTCAGCATCTGATTCCCCCTCCCCTTCCCTTCCTCCTCTATCACCATTCTCTTCTTCCTATTTCCTTCTCACTCATTGACCAAGTGTCCTTTTATGCACCCTGTACCAAGCTGGGTTCTGGGGATAGAGAGATGCACACGGCACTGCCCTGCTTGTTCACCAGCCATTTCTTCACCCAACAAACATCTGCTCTCCAGGCCCTTTCCTAGGTGCTGAAGATTGAACTGCAAGCAAAATTATACCATTTGTGCCCTCCAGCTAACAGTCTGGTGGGGATAAAAGACACTAATCAGCAATCATATAAATGTAAAATTGCAACTCGAATAGGGTTGCCAGATTTACCAAATAAAAACACAAAATGTCCAGTTAAATTTGAGTTTCAGATACACACGAATGTTTTTTTAGTGTATGTCCCAGATACTCTGGCTGGAAGAGGGAGAGCCTGCCAAGAAATCAGAGGAAGGAAAGGAGGACACGACATTGTGTCACAGAGCCAAGGGAGGGATGTGTTTCAAGAAGAGGGGTGAGCAGCAGTGGGGTGGGATGGAGCTGAGGACCAGATTTTGCAGATACGGAGGTCACTGAAGGGGAGCTATGTCAGTGGAATGCCAGGAGTTCTGGAGTGCCAGAGGCCAGATTGGAGAGGTTTATGGAGAGAGTGAGAAGTGAGGAAATGGGATGACCGTGATCATCTTTTTCAAGAATTTGGCGGAGAAGGAGGAGAAAGGTAGAGCAATAATAGATGAGGGGTTTGGGTTTTCTTAAGAAACTTGCATGCATTTAAAAGCAATGTAAAGCTCCACCCAACTGCATGAAAGGAGTTGAGTACAGGAGAGAGGCACGGATACTCTGACCCAGGGAGGCTCCTGAGAAGGCAGAGGAATGGGATCTGGGACTGAGTGGGCTGGTTGGCTCCAGGCAGAGGGGAGAGTGGATGTGGTGTGCAGCAGTGGATTAATGTTTGGGATTAGGAAAAAGAAGGGTTCCTACTCAATGGCTGGGGAGACAAGATGAGATTTACCTACTGAAAGGAGGCTCTAGAGGGGGTCCCTGAAGTGAGGGGCTGGCGAAGGCTAAAATAGCTGTTGGATCATGGGAGAGCACATGGTCCAGAGAAGCAGAGTTGAATTGGCACACAGACTGAGGGACTATTGGTGATACCAGCCAGTCCTGTCTTGTGACATTTTCCATCATGTCACTTGTTTGGGCACAGACAGGCAGAAGTTAGAGAGTGGGGTTGATGCAGGGTTGGAGCTTTGCCAAATAGATGCAATGAAAAGACAAGAGGAACGAAAGATTCTAAGGCTAAGAGGGACATCAAGAAAGGAGAGGACTAAATGATGGGGGGTGGGGGGGGCCACTCAGAGGTCCCAAGGAAGTGGCAGCAGCAGGACAAGCCAGTGAGAAGGAAAGGGACAGGGATCCCACCGCCAATGTTTATAATGCTAGTTCCACCCCCCTTCTTTTATCTCTTTTGTTCATCTCATCCATTTCCTGTTCCTCGCCCTTTCACTTTCTCCCGTTCTTACCCTGGCACTGTCCTTCAGAGACTTCTCCTAGCCATGGTGGATCTTAGCCAGCTGAGGAGGGTGCAGTGAGGGGCTGGGGCATCAAACAGACCTGGATTCAAATCCGGCCTCCACAGCTTAATCACTGTGTGACTCTGGGCAAATGATGTATCCACTCAAAGCTGCCATTTGCTACTGTAAAACGGAGAGAACTTGTTCTGCCTCACTGGGATGCTGAGAGTTAGAGATAATGGCTATGGAATGTTCCAGCAGTATGCCCAGCACATAGTCATTTCTCCATAAGTGGTATTCTTTCCCCCTTACTAGCTGCCACCAATTCTGCACCACTGTCACGCTGAGTAGGCCCCTGCCCAAGAGCCAGCCCGGTGGCCAACAGTAGGTGAGCAGAACCTCAGACGTCCCTGGGGCTCCTTCCTCTACCGTCTACCCGGTGCTATCCACCGACCCTCTACCTGCCCACAGATCTTCAGGTTGACCCGAAGCAAGGTGGACGACGACAAGGCACGCATCCTGATTCGCAGCCTCCTGGACCACCCGGCCCTGGAGGAGCTGGACCTGTCGCACAACCTCATAGGGGACCGTGGCGCGCGCGCCGCCGCCAAGCTGCTGAGCCACAGCCGCTTGCGCGTGCTCAACCTCGCCAACAACCAGGTGCGCGCGCTGGGCGCCCAGTCGCTGGCTCACGCCCTGGCGCACAACACCAACCTCATTTCCCTCAACCTGCGCCTCAACTGCGTGGAGGATGAGGGCGGCCAGGCGCTCACGCACGCCTTGCAGACCAACAAGTGCCTCACCACGCTGCACCTCGGGGGCAACGAGCTGTCCGAGCCCACCGCCACGCTCCTCTCCCAGGTGCTCTCCATCAACACCACGCTCACCAGCATCAACCTGTCCTGCAACCACATTGGGCTGGTGAGCCACGGCTTCTGGGGCTGGCAGGGCCTAGGGGAGGCCTTGGGGCCTGCAGGGCAGGCATGGAATCCAGCTGCCGCCAGGTGCTTAGGGGACAATTGTTAGGATTACAGCCTTTACTCGGTTCTTACCTGGTTTTCTGCCTTTTAGCCCTTGGTTAAGTTACTTAACTTTTGCAGATCTCCATTTCCTGCCCCCCCTTCTGTAAACTGGAGATTATAATAGCATCTACTTCTAAGTGTTGTCACTGGGACGATTAAATGAGTTATACTTGTAAAGCAGTTTACCGTTGCAGGTACTGGCTAGGTCCTCGGTGATTGCTAGTTACCATCACTCAGGGTTATATTCTACGCTAGCTGCCCAGTATCAATTAGTTTTTCTTTAACCCTCATGGTTATCTAGTAAAATGTGTATTTTTTTTAACTGAAGTATGGCTGATTTTCAATGTCATCTTAGTTTCTGGTGTACAGCCTAATGCTTCAGTTATACATGTATTCTCGTTCATATGTTTTTCATTATAGATTACAAGATATTGAATATAGTTCCCTGTGCTATACAGTAGGAACTTGTTGTTTATCTGTTTTGTACATAGTAGTAGTATCTGCAAATCCCAAACTCCTAATTTATCCTTCCCTGCCCTTTCCCCTTTGGTAACCATAACTATTTGTTTTCTATATCTGTGAGTCTGTTTCTGTTTTGTAAATAAGTTCATTTGTGCCATCTTTTAAGATTCAACATATAAGTGATAACATATGATGTTTGTCTTTCTCTGTCTGACTTACTTCACTTAGTATGATAATCTCTAGGTTCATCCATGTTGCTGTAAATGACATTATTTCATTCTTTTTATGGCTGAGTAGTATTCCATTGTGTGTGTGTGTATAAAATCACATCTTTATCTTGTCATCTGTTGATGGACAATTAGGTTGCTTCCATGTCTTGGCTATTGTAAATAGTGCTGCTATGAACATTGGGGTGCCTGTACCTTTTCAAATTAGAGTTTTCTCTAGATATATACCTAGGAGTGGGATTACTGGGTAACTCTATTTTTAGCTTTTTAAGGGCTCTCCAACTGTTTTCCATAGTGGCTGCACCAAATTACATTCCCACCAACAGTGTAGGAGGGTTCCCTTTTCTCCCTCTTCTCTGGAATTTATCATTTGTGGACTTTTTAATGATGGCCATTATGACTGATGTGAGGTGACACCTCATGGTAGTTTTGATTTGCATTTCTCTAATAATTAGTGATACTGAGCATTTTTTTATATGCCTGTTGGCCACCTGTATGTCTTCATTAGAGAAATGTCTGTTTAGGTCTTCTGCTCAGTTTCTTTTATTGGGTTGTTTGTTTTTTTGTTGTTGAGCTGTATGAACTGTTTATATATTCTGGAAATTAAGCCCTTATCAGTTGCATCATTTACAAATATTTTCTCCCATTCCATAGGTTGTCTTTTTGTTTTGTTTATGGTTTCCTTTGCTGTACAAAAGCTTATAAGTTTAATTAGGTCCCATTTGTTTATTTTTGCTTTTATTTCTATTGCCTTGGTAGAGTGACCTAGGAGAAGATTGCTATGATTTATATCAGAGAATGTTTTGCCTATATATTCTTCTAGGAGATTTATGGTATCCTGTCTAATGTTTAAGTCTTCAAGCCATTTTGAGGGTTTTTTTTGTGTATGGTGTGAGGGAGTGTTCTAATTTCATTAATTTACATGTGGCTTTTCCATCACCACTTGCCAAAGAGACTGTCTTTTCTCCATTGTATATTCTTGACTCCTTTGTTGAAGATTAATTGACCATAGGTATGTGGGTTAAAATATGTATTCTTAACCCCACTTTGGATGAAAAATTGAGTCTCATAGAGGTTAGTGAGTTGCCTGAAAGCATCCAGTCAGTAGAAAGTGGCAGAGCTGTGATTCAAGCCCAGGACTGATTTGAAAGCCTGGGTCCTAGATAGATAATGTCTCTCATATTTTCTTGACCAAGTCTCGAGTAAGAAATGCAATTTACATGAACACTTAGTGAACATATACATCAATATTTATAACATAATTGAAACATACTTGTACTGCTTGTGATATAGCTGATGTTTTCTTTTATAATATACACTACTTCATTTTTAAAAAAATGCTTCTGTGACCCATTAAATTGAGTTTACAACATGCTATTAGGTGACAACCATAGAACAGCAGCATTCTGCCTCCTGACATGAAATTTTTCACATGAGGCCTGGCCTACCCAACCCAGAAGGGACTGGAGCTGTGAGGACTCGTAAGGAGGGCACTCCATGTACTCTACTTGGGGCCCTGAACCTTCTACTAAACTCCCCAGAAAACAGGCTTACTCACATACACTATCTCTGAAGGGGGTGTTCTCAGCTACAACTAATGGAACACTTAACAAGGAAGTGGCTTAAGCGAGAAGAGTATTCATTATGTCCCTACTCAGAAGCCCCAGGGAAGAAGGTTCTGGGGTTGGTGAATTCCATGGCTCAGTGCCATCCTCTGCTTTGCCTGCCCAGCCACATGGCCACGTCCTCTCTGCTGCTCCCTTCATTGGTGCAAGATGGCGGCTGCACCTCCCATTAGGGCCACGCCCAGAGGCAGAGAAAGGGAGACCATCCCTCTCTTTTGTTCTCTTTTCAGAATGAGGAGAACCTTCCCAGAAGCCACTTTGTCCAAACATCCTCCTCATGTCTCATGAGCCACATTGGTCCCACTTGCCACGGCTGAACTGGAGAAATAGAATCACCATCACTGCTGTAGTGCAGTGGTTTTCTAACCATTGGAGCTGAAAAATCAATTTAGTGAGTTTTGAGCACCATTTTTCTCAGGGAACAGAATGGAACAGGATAGAATAGGATAGAAAATGTCAGTGCTGTGCAAGTGGGTTAAGGATTGTTTTGTGAACCTGTTGTTTCAGTCACATCTGTATATAAATATGTGTATGTGTTTATACACTCACCCGTTGTGCGACCCTGGGTAGTGATGGAAAGTGACCCTTTCCCTTGTATTCCTGACCCAGGATGGCGGGAAGCAGCTCCTGGAAGGCATGTCAGACAACAAGACCCTCCTGGAGTTTGATCTGCGCCTGTCAGATATCGCCCAGGAGAGCGAGTATCTCATCAGCCAAGCTCTCTGTGCCAACCGCGAAGCAGCCCTCCAGCGGGCCCTGAATCCCACCCACTTCATGTCACCAATCACTGCCAAGGGCCCTGAGAACCCTGTGGGATAAGATGGGGGCCAGGGCTGAGGCAGTGACCAGATATGCTTCCCTGCCCCAGCCCCATCCCTCATTTCATGCCCCTGCCATGCCGGCTGCAGTCTCACACTGGTCCAGGGGGTGGTGAGGAGACTAAGAGTATCCTTGGGATGAGTGATCAAGGGGTTGTGCAGATAAAGATGTGGGGGGGGGTCTGGGATAGGGGTTTGAAATGGGACTCAGCTCCAGTACCCAGGGAGAGGGTATTACAGACCTACTGCAATGGCTTCTTCCAGGAATAGGGAAGGCAAAGCAGCCTCTAAGGGACTGTGCCTGCCCAGACTCTCCCACAGGACTGTCCATCTCCCTGATCACCCCCGACCCCCGCATTTTCCTCTCTACCAAACAGATCCTTAACCTCTTGACCTTCAAACACACTCACTCTCTCTCACCTTCTCCTTCCTCCAGCTGCAACAGAGCTTTGCCTGGCTTTTCCACGCTCACCCCTGCAGATGCCCCTCCCTGTTACTTGACTCCGCTGAAGTCATCTGGGTCTACAGGCCATGCCATCCTGTAACCCATCCCCCCCAACATGGGAAGGGGGAAACAGAGGTGACAGGGGGAGCTCAGACCCAGTGGCCTCCTGAGAGAGCTGCTCACGGAAAGGGGAGATGGTGAGGGAGGTGCCACATGGGGAATGGAAGTCAGTGAGTCATCCGCAACTTTATTATCCACCAGTTTGATTTATACAATCTTTGCGCTTGGAAATCCACGACAGAAAGGCCACAGTGTGATGCACCCAGTTGACAGAGACCTGTCTTCTCCTCAGCCAGGCCCAGCCCACCCACAAGCCCTTGTCCCCAGGACACATGGAACCTTCCCGGTGCCCTCCATGAGTCCCAGGCACTCTGTGGCTGCCTACCCTGGGGCCACACCCACAGGAATCACATCTACCTATGGGGCCACGAGAGGACCTGAGGATGGATTCAGGCTGAACCCCATCCCCCATCCCCCATCCTCCCCAGGCAGAGGGGCTCAGAACCTCCAGCCTCATGTTTCCAAAGGGTGGGTCATGGGCTGCCACCACCACAGCCTCAGGGTGCCCACTTTCTAAGGACTCCTTCCAATAAGCAGGCACTGAGCAGAGCACCAGAGGGGGCTTGGGAGTGACTGCACGTGTGTGCCTGACCGGGCAACCTAGAGTCTGTCTGTGCCTGACACCCTCTGACAGTTCCGAAGTGCAAACATGTAGGTGTGAGGGTGTTTGTGAGTGTGTGAGTGTACATAGCCACAGCTGCTAGCAGAGGTTCTAATTAGAGAAACAAGAACATTCAGTGTAAAGTTTAATTTTAGAGATTAATTAATTTTCTGGTTTTTGTTTTCCCTGGCAATCAATAAAGCTACCAAGAAAATAGACCAAAGAATTGGTTTCTAAGTCTGTGCGTGTGTGGGAGGTGAGGCTGTCTGTGTGAGAACACTAGGCAGAAATGGTCAGTACAGGCAAAAATAATAACAGCCCCTCCCGGTCCCCTCCTCCCAGCTCTGGCTCTGTCTCAGGAACAGGCCTGAGGCAGGAAGGGCGGGGTTTCTCCCCCCACCTTGAAGCCGTGAGGTGGTCTGGTCAGGCTGCCCCACACAAGAGTGTGACATTCAGGTGCCAGCTGGCCAAGAACTGGGGCCCGAGGCCACAGCTCGCCACCTGTCCATCGCAGATGTCGGTTCAGAGGAAAGAGGGGTTGCTCCAAACGCCAGGCCCCCTGAGAGTCCAGTGCTGGCAGGCAGATGGGCACTGCTGCCCAGGGAAACCTAATGAGCAGCTGTCCCCCTCTGCCCAGGCCTCCCCTTGTCCAGCCTCCTCTCCCTTCCCACTCAGCCATCTCCTCATCAAAGTTAACCTCAGCCCTGATGGGTCACGGGCTGTGGTGTCCCCACAATCTGTGCCCTCCAAGTCCCCCGGGAAAGGAGGGAAGGGGGGGCCAGAGGAGATGTTGCATAGGTGGAGGCCACGCCCTTGGGGGTGCAGGCCCGGCTATGCTGGAGGAAGAGGGGACAGGCTGAGGTGGGGAAAGAGCAGTTCTGATGGTTCAGGCAAAGTGAGAAGCATGGGGCGAGCAATGTCGAGGCCAGAGGGTTATCCTCTCCAGCTGGAAATGCGAACTCAATCCCTGGACGCTAAGTTGGCTGGGAAAACTTTAGCCAGGGGAGTTGGAGTCCAGGGGGATCGTACACAGACATGCACACGGAAGCACATCAGGGTAGGAGTGGTGGAAGGACAGCAGGTGGGGCCAGCACCCTGGGGTGGTGGCAGGACGCCCCTTTGAAGACCCTGGGACACACAGCAGGGCTTCAGCTCATGGACTAGGGGAGGACAAGGGGGTCGGGCAAGATTTCGAAAATTCCTGCCTCTGACCCTGCCACTGGAATTGAGTCTTTCTCCAGCTGGGGCTCGTGACAAGGTCTTCAGCCCTGCAAAGGATCTGTATGGGGTCAACCACTCTCTACTTCTCCCCACAAGTATGGGGGAGGCAAGGTCTGGCCCCATGACACCCCTGCCTTCGGGGGTCTTTTCACTGCCCCCTCCTCTTTGACTCCCACCTACTTCCAGAGTTCCCTGTTGTCACCCAAGTCTGTCTGCCACTTACTCATTCACCTTGGCCAGCTTGAAGGAATGCCGCCTGCCGGGGCTGTATATCACTCTCTCTGAAGGGCGTCCCCTCTCAGAACCCAGGTGAGGAGGCTGCAGTGTGGACTAAGGACTGAGGTGTACTGCCTTCCACAGTGTGCCTCCCCTCTCGCCCCTGGCAACAGCTCTTAGAGCCGGGGAGCAGGAGGGGAGGGAGGGGAGTGACGTCTTCGTGGTGAGCACAATCCCTACAGGGACCCAGCCTCCCTGGGCCCAGTGAGATAAACAACAGTGGAGGGAGCGGCAGAAAGGAAACCCCGATCCTCTTCGGGGCCAGCGCCAAGAAGAGGAGAGCAACATTTCCACAGCTTTGAGATGGAGTGTGGCGGCTGACGCCTGGCCCTGGCCTCAGACCCACTGAATTCATTAGCTTGTTGGAAGCCAGCCCTGCTAACCGCTGCCCCCTCAGTAGAGAGAGGTCCCAGAGGGGCCAGGCTACCAAAGAAGGAAAGCCCCAGTTGCCCTTCCCCCGGCCTCAACCTCCCCAGCTGCACAGCGAGGGCCTCTCCCTTGAGACTGGACCCAACGCCGGTCCCGCGGCACAGTTGCCACGTAACAGTCAGAAGATCCGTTGAAAGACGGGACGGGAAATCTCGGGTGTGCATGTAGAAAGGGGAGGTGTCCCTCTAGGAGCTCAGGGGCGGGGCTGGAAGAGATGACTCTGCCCGGGTGGCATTCTCTCACCCCTCCTTCCATCTGTCTATGTACAGGGAAGGCGGGAAGGGTGACAGGGATCGGCCGCTTTGGCGTATGTCCCGCGACCCTTTGCCTCCCCCCACCCTCCCCACGCCGTGCCCAGCACAGCCTCGGCCACCACCATCGTGACTCCCCCTGCTACACGCAGGGAGCCCAGTCCGGCGAGGGGCAGGGAGGAGGCCGGCGGGCGGGTCCAGGGGCCCGGGGTCACAGTGAGGTCTCTACGCAGGAGCCGTGGCGGTGCAGCGGCCGGTGACTGTGGCCCAGACACCCCTCCTGCCGGTGCACGATGAGCACCGGGAAGTAGAGGGCGTCGTGGTAGGGAGGCGGCGGTCCGGCCTCCTCGTCGTCGTCGTCGTCCTCGTCGTCCCCCATGCTGGCCTGGCTCGACAGCCGCGTCTGCTCGGTAGGGCAGCTCGCCTCGTTAACACTCCCGCTCCGGCTGCGCCACAGGCAGCTGCGCCGGGAGCCATAGAGGCGGCCGAGCGAGAAGCGGCTG